ACTCCCCCCCCTACAATAAAGTCTCACTCTAGCCCAAGCTTGCCCCATACTCGTGGCAATTTTGCCTCAGCCTCCCTCATACTGGGACTACAGTGTGTGCTAACATGCCCAGCTCTGGATACAGAATTCCCAGGTGACATTTTCCTCTCACTCTAATGATCCACTTCCTCTGGCCTCCATGATCTCTATGAAGAACATGCCATCATTCAAACTGCCACACAGGTGGGTTTTCTTTGAGCACTTCATGGCATCTTAGTTCTGGGCAGTTTGAGGACAGTGTGAGACACAGGGTGTCCCTACGTAGCCTGATGTGTCTGAAGATGTTCTTGCCCCAGCCTCCCCAGTGCTGGGATTGCAAGTGCTCAATGCATCCCTTTGGATTTATCCTGCACAGAGTTTATTCATCTTGACTCTTTTAGCTTTTATCTTCCATCAGATTGGGAGTTCCCAGCCATTGTTCATTCCCATCTTTTAAAGCCTTCGTTGTTTGTCTTTCCCATCTTCCATGACACAGGGCCCTGTGAAACTGCTCTTTCTTCATCTTTTCTCCTGTTATTCAGACTGGTGGTTCTCCATCTCCATTCAGCCATTGAGTCGATCCAGTTTTTTGAGACAGTCTTGCTCTGTAACCATGACTGACTGAAACTCCGTGTGGCTCAGGATGACTTCAAACTTGCAACAATTCTTCTGCCTCTGCCTCCCCAATTCTGGAATTAAGATTATACACATTTGCCCATTCATTTCTCTTTGCCATCCTCATTCATATTCTAATCTGTGAGAGTGTTTTGATTGCTCATTAGAGCTACTTCAGTGTTTATATCATCAGTATCTGCCATCTTCCCCCTCTCCCCCCAGCCTCCCAGTTCGGGTGCTAAGTGGCGTGGCCTTGTCACTGGACTGTGGCTGTCATATTTAGCCTTGTGGAGTTGACAGTGTTTGAACCTGCCTTCTGTCAATATGATCCCAATTCAGCATCAATTCCTAAAGCCCTGGCTGTGCTATTTGGACCTGTGACCCAGAGGCCCCTGCTGGTTCAGTTCCCTTTGGTTTACTACTTAGGACCAGTGTAAACCAAGCAAGCAGTGGCCCTGCCCACCCAGCCTATGTTGTTTCAGCACCCTGAAGTGAATGTGGTGCTCAAAATAAGCTTGGAACAATGATGGAAACGTTCCTAAATACAATTTTGTTACTATTTAAGAAATCCAGAATGCTGAGGGCTGACAACTCCAACTTCCATCCTGTGGGCCATCCCCCAGCTCCCACTGCCTGAGTTCCCCCATTAAAGGTCCATAACGTTAAAAATGCCCAGAGATGACCAACAACTGCTTCTTGTGGAGATTTTTTTAAATCTTCAGGTAATTTCAGTTATTTAAAAAGCTCTTGTGAATAAAAGAACTCCCCTAGATCTCCAGATTTTCATACAAGAAGAGGTACTAAGGATGGTTCATAGATGACTGCATGCCCATGTCACTTTCCATGATGCTGACTTTGACTTAAGCCTGGCTGTAGAGCAGTTGGTCCTCACGTGGTCATATTTGAGATGCTCTGCAGGGATGTCCCAGGTACCGAACAACCACCTCATATGGTGATTATGTCTGATATAATTGTGCCTTGAACAAGCCTAGATAAGGGTAAGAGAGAAGACCTTCATAAAGACATACAAATGATGGGTGGACCAGCATATAGACCTTAATATGCCACTAACTCACCTCCTTGTAGAAGTTGGTAGCAAAAAAATATGTAGTTGCTGCCAATTTAAAGCCTACCTATATAACTCACCTAACACGCATGAAGCCCTTGGCTTGTACCTCCCAAGAACCACATTAACTAGGTGTGGGGATATACCTGTAATCCCAGCAGTTGAGTGATAGAGACAAGAAGAGCAGAAAGTTTGAGGTCATCTTTGGCTATCAGTTCCAAAGGCAAACTGAGCTACAAGAAACCCTGTCTTTAAAAAGAAGAAAAATAACCAGGCATGGTAGCAGATGCACTTGGGAGGCAGAGGTAGTTAGATCTACATAGAAAGTTCCAGGATAGTCAGGGCTACATAGAGAAACTCACTTCAAATTCAGACACAGGTATTCTGAAATGACCAGGCCATGTTTAAAGGGTTGCATTTATACTGGCCACAGAGCACACAGCAAAGACCTTACCTGGGCCATGCAACAGCAGAATTTGCCACAGCATAGCATTAGTTTACCCATGAAGTAGACCATACAGCTATGCTGTTTTTCCTGAGCAGTGACTTACCTGGAAAGCAAGCCTCACCTTCCACCTGAGCTGGGCTTCTCCCACGCTTCTCCAATACTACTTCTGTGGCCTAAGTGTCAAGGAGTCTCATTCCATTTACAAAGTTTTTTGAAGGCATTTTTGACTTGAAAGTTGTCCAGAATTTGCTTTGGTTGCTGCTTTGTTTCTTGCCATGTGGGGACCCCAGTGCCTCCTACATGCCAGATAAACACCCTATCACCGAGCTACATTCCCAGCATGGTGGATTCTTTTGGAAATGAATAACGGCCCCTCTGCTCGCTCTCTTTTCTTGCAATTCAGTCCACTTACCATGACCTGAGCAAACACACCTTTGAATTAGCAGCCAACCTTCAATGAAACACAACTATGAAGATGTTGCATAGGAACTGACAGGAGTATGTGCTACCATGCTGGGAGCAGGTGAGACCGCCTACAATGCCTTCAATTAACTTGAAAATGTATAAACATGTTAGGAATTCCATGGAGGTAGAGCAGATGAGCAGACACATAACCAATGCCAAGTATTCAGATAGCTTCTAAACATACAGTTTAAGAATACATTTCTATTTTCTTCTCATTCTTGTCACTCCAGCAGAACTTCAATATTATTAATTCTAAGGTAAAAGTAGCACAAAAAAAGCAAAAACACTTATGGAAAAAAAATTTTAATTAAGACCTTAAAATCAAAAATTTTTAAAAGACAGTGTATCATTTATTTTAAATATGACTGTATTCTCAAACATTTTCAGACGTTCCCAGCATGGAAGCTAATTTTATAAATGATCTCACTGCCTTGCAGCTTGTCCCCTCTTAGCTCCTAGGATAGGAAAAAGTTGTTGATAAGATCAATTTGGTAAAAACTTCATAGGCTCAAAATATAATCACCATCTTTTTAATAGGAAAGAAATTGAAGCCTAAACACTAGGGACTCAGGTGTGTGTGGAGTCGGTATGTGAACATAAAATATTCTCCACAGTCCTGATCAGTTGTGCTCTGTGTAAAAAGGTGACTAAGACCCCAGCATGGCTTCTCAGCACACCTCAGCCTGTACACACAGGTAAAAGGATGCACATGTCTTATATACAAGTCTGAAGTCTGAAAGTTGGGGGTGGGGGTAGGTTCTGTGTCCTCCCCACCTGTCTTTCTGAGATTGTCAGGTGTAACTTGATGATGTAGGGCTGGGTAGGGAATACAGGCCTTCAAGGCACCACTTTACAAAGAGTAATTCTCAGCAAACTGGGCCACTGTCACAATCATCTTGCCTATGTGACATTCGGGGACTATGTAGTTAACAGAGTCACTAGCAAGGTTGTATTTGGACAACATGTAGAACTTACTCTTTAATTAAATATATACTTCAGTGGGAGGGCTCTGTACACAAGGGACTATACAAAACTAGGCAAATATTTTAAAAGTTTTTTTAAAACACTCATGATTCTTCAGTATGCATTTCAAAGCTTAATACAGTTTTAAGATGACATTGTGTGACAATTTTATATGGAATGAAATCAGTTTGTGTTCTAGAAATTATCATACTCAAAAACCCATAGTGAAAATATCCTGGACATGCTCAGTCACACATTCGCCCTGCACTCAGTTTTACCCAACAAACTCAGATGCTGAGTGGGTGCAGGTGAAACATCTCCCCATCTCAGGAAGAGCACAGATCTCTGAGCATCTCTCTAGAAGGATGGAGAAGGCACCCATCTCATGGAAACCTATGCTTTTTTAAAGCCATTGTTTTAAAACCCTGACGGTGGTTCCCTACTAAAGGAAGAACATTTACAGCCAGGCCCCTCCCCATTCTCCCACAGTTCGGCAGCACTGGTCACCAGGCCGGACATCAAGTAGTCACATTTTCAACCTACAGTTTCAGCACATGAAGCCTTCGTTAAGTTCTACAGAAGGAAAAGCAGAATGGAGACGATGATACACAAATGGATTCAGCTGGTCCCATCCCCACAGGCCACACAGACTCAGTTCATTAAATGTCATTTCAGATTTCAAGTTTTCAATGGCATCATCTGCTATCTTCAAAGAGGGGAGTGGCAGGTCAGACTTAATAAGCAGCTGGCTATGCCATATGTGCTCTAAAAGGGAATACTGCAGTTAAAAAAAGTGACAGTGACTCGGAAAAAAAAGTCATCATTGCTCTAAAACATGCACTTCATTACACTGCACTCACCGGAATGTACCAGAACTATTGAATTATATATTAAATAAATGTCTAAGTGATGATTTAAGGAGAAAAGGTAACCCTCATTCTGGCCAGAAAATTCTTAAATATCATAGTCTACATGGAGGAGAGGCGAAATGAAGTATCAAGTGTAAATGTTCAGCAGTTGCCAAAGTCCTAGTTCATCAGGAACAGCACTGACCTCGCACCGATGCCCTTGCTTTCCTTGGTGCTCTCTGCAAGGCAAACTGCCCAGATGTGGTGCCTGTAAGTTCTGCACTGTGGGATAGGATGCCCCTCCAGCTGTGGAATGCGGTGCTGGTCAGAAGGGACAGCTCTGACTGTACTACAGGAGGGTGTGGATGGGAAGCGCCTAGAGCCAGTTAAAGGCATTTGGTGTGGGTATCTCCAAAGGTTAAAATCTTTAAAATAAAACTCTTACAAGAATATCAAGACTCGGGGACTTGTCTTCATAAACAAGCCAACACCTATGGCTTCAATGGTCTGCCCTAACTACAAAGACAGGTGACCAACCATCATGAAAGCAAAACCATCTCTTGAAAATCCCTAAGAGGAGCTTTGCAGGGCCAGTCGATTTATTTCTTCCACCTGTGTGTGGTCTCATTTGATAGTTTTGTTTTTCCTTTTCTTCCATAAACACTTGAAAGAGCATGTCCCGGCATCTATGCCCTTGCTGAGTAGCACCGCATATACTCCGTCAGCCACGGGTTCTCTGCGGAAGTTGGCTTTACCCTCCAGTTCTTTTCCACATCCACAGAGTGAGCCCGCTGCCTCTGGGCAGCCAGTTTCCTTTTCTCCACCTGTCGTCTGTTCTTGGCTCGAAGTGCTGATTCATGAATCTAAAGAAAGTTCAGAAATAAAGGTAGACACCTAAGTGGCTTAAGTACCAATTTTTAACAAAATCTAAGTCTAGGGATACAGCTCAGTTCCATATAGCACAGAAGAAACCCTGGGTTTATTCCCCAGGTGTGGTGGTACACACCTGTTACTCCAGCATGAGGTAGAAGCATGAGGACTGTAAGTTCAAAGCCATCCTTGGCTACATACAAAGCTCAATGCCAGCCTGTGATACAAGAGACCCTGTCTTATGTTACTAGCCTGATTCCCTGAAGCAAGGAGTCAAGCTATGGCAATCTTTGGTATCAACACTTCAAAGAATAAACTATCCTATCACCACAATTCACCTCACTACTAATGATGGCAAAGCTGAGCATAGAAATTAAATTTTAAGGCTGGAGAGATGACTCAGAGTCAAGAACAAGTACTGCTCTTACAAAGGACCTAAGTTCAATTCCCAGAACCCAAGCCACACATCTTACAACTGTTTGTAATGCTAGTTCCAGGAGGATCTGATGCCACTGGCCCCTAAGAGCACCAGCACTCACATACCCAGACTCACACACATACCATAACCAAACATAATAAATATTTTTTTAAAAAACAAAATTTTAGATATAAATGGCAAGCAGCTAACTTTCATTCGATCTAGGACCAGCTTGGGAAAACCTGTTTGTAGCTGTTTGGCCAAAACTCACTACATAGATCAGACTGGCTATAAACTTCCAGGGATCCTCCTATCTCTGCCTCCCAAGTACTGAGATTATAGATATGCCACCATACTCTGGAAAACTGTGGGAACTCCTCCACTGTGAGCATGGAAAAGAGTCTGAGTTTTTGACTATGCTCTAAAACACTGCACTAATGAGCTGGCTTTTTGAAGCCCATTCCGTATGGTGGGATGCCTTGTTCAGTCTTGATGGGGTGGGGAGGGATCTTGGCCCTTTCTCAACTGAATGTGCCAGGCTTTGTTGACTCCCCATGGGAGGCCTTACCCTTTTTGAGGAGTGGATGTCGGTGGGATGGGGGGAAGTAGTAGAGAAGGGGGAAGGGGGGCAGGGAAGGGGAACTGTGATTAGTATGTAAAATGAATTTTAAAAATTAAAATGTAAAAAAAAAAAAAAAAAAAGGAATACTGCACTAAAAAATGTGGAGGACAGCCAGGTGCAGGCACACAAGCCTGTAGACCCAGAATTTGGTAGAACGAAGTAAAAAAGATCAGAGGTTCAAGGTCATCCTTAGCTAGGTAGTGAGTTTCAGGCCTATCTCGAAGTAAGATCCTATCTCGAAATACAATAAACAAAACAAAAAATGTCAGGGGAGTTTATCCTGTGGCAGATAAACACACTGTTAAATTAGTCCCTGAGAATGGTCTGAACCCTCTGCTAACAACAGCTCCCTATTCTCGGATTTCACTTCAAATAAACAGCATCTGCCACCTAGGCTGCTCTGGGAACTTGCCTGGCATTACAGGAAAACTGAGTTTGCAGTTTCTCTTCCTGCCTGCTCTTCGGACATCCCTGGCATCCAGCTGGTGCTAACACAGTAACTGTTTCATGATAGATCATACCCTCTCTGTCCTCCTGTCTAAAATATCTCAGGTCTTGAGAGAATGTCAAACCAAGGCTGAGTCAGATGACTAGCACTCCTAGGAACAAACCACTATTGCAGGCCAGGCAGTGGTGGCACATGCCCTTAATCTCAGCTTGGGAGGCAGAGGCAAGTGGATCTCTGTGAGTTTCAGGCCAGCCTGGTCCACAGAGTGAGTTCCAGGACAGGCTCCAAAGCTACACAGAGAAATCCTGTCTCAAAAAACAAACAAAACAAACAAAAACCCACTATTGCAAGCTGAATTTCATCACAGGTCCCTAGTGGATGTCAGGTAAGACATGCCAAGGGAGAAAAAAAAGCCTTGGTCAAGGACCCAGGTCATTAAAGCTAAGGGAAACTGAAGCCTCTCCTGAGGATAGCTCCAGCTCCCAGTGTACTTTTCCCCTGTGACTCAAGGCCATAGAACTCATAAACTACAATGATATTTCCTCTTCCCCTGGCCAGTCCACCAAAGTCTACTCCATCTTCCTAGTAACCAGAGGCCCCTTCTTTTGGCTTCCGTGGACCACACACCACCCAAGGACCTCCCATGGCCCAGAGCAGTGAAAGCCAAAGGAGAAATGCCCTGTGGCAATGAACGGTTAGACTCTCCCTTCCAAGGCACACCTCATGCACAGAGGCGGATGCACAGACATTGTGTGTCTTCTGGCTCCCTGTGTCCATCTGTTTCTCTCCCCAGCCATACAGAGCAAATGGGTGCTTGTTCTCTTTTATTTTGCTTGTTGACCTTTGGGGGCTTCTGGTTGCTTTCTTACTTCCTCTGGCAAATAAGGCACTAGGCTGCTGTCGAGGTTCGGGGCCGACGGGCACTCTGTCAGTCTCTTTTGCCCCAGTTTGTAGTTCAGGTTTTTCTTCTACATCTTTTTTGGGTGGTGCTTTTGAAAAAAGGGATGAGACAAGGTGGAAATACTTTAAATCACCAGTTTATGCACAGTTACTCAATTTAAGTTAAAAAATAATAAAGCCTCATCAAGTCAGTTACATGTTTAACTCAACAAGTTTTACTTAAAGTGAGATATGGAAACAAATTTGTAGAAGAACTGTCATGTACCCCATTTTAAAAATTGACAACAAAGGCATAACATTACATCAAAACAATTCCAAAGCAACCTTGATGGCCGTCCTCAGGATTCATCATCCCTATGACAAGTGCACACAAGCCCAGAGTGTGTGGTCCCCTCTGGATGCTTCCTCTGGGGACAGAATATGCTGTCCTCACCAGGCAGCTGCTCAAGGTTTCTAAGTCACTTCTTGGAGTTCCAGAATTATTCTTCCTTTTTGATGGACAACCTCCTCACCTGTGCCTCCAAAGAGGCAGGTGGCCACCTGAGTCTAACAGCATTTGTCACAACAGGATGTGGTCACCATAGCCACTTACCTGAGGGTAGCCCTTTACAGCATCCCCGGTGTAGCCAAGAGCAGTTGAAACGGAAGTGACTTCATGAGTCAGGACCACAGTGTGATGCTTGAATATGTAATGTCCTCCCAGGCTCGTGAATCAGAACAGTTCTAGCTAGTGGTGCTGTTTTAGGGGGCTGTAGAATCTCTGGGAGATGGGGACTTAAGAGGTAAGTCACTACAGGATGAGTGGTCTCAGTTTTGACCTAGCTTCTGTTTCCTGAACTATCAAGATGCAGGCAAGCAGCCTCACCTTCAAACTGCCATGAACTCTGCCATACCTTCCCCATAGTGACGGACCATACCCCTCCCCAAGCATAGCCATAAGAAACCTTTCCACCCTTCAATTGCTTCTTATCAGGTATTTGGTCACGGTGATGAGAAAAGTAACTGACAGGTATGGTGTGTGGGGCCTGAGCGGTGTCAGCAGGCCTGGGGAAGAGAGGGAAACAGTGGTTGCCCAGCCTGGGGTAAATATCAGGTATGAAAGAACATTCTAGAATGTCTCTAATTTCCCTTACCTACCTTTTGGGATGTTGACATTTTCTCTCTCTCTCTCTCTCTCTCTCTCTCTCTCTCTCTCTCTCTCTCTCTCTCTCTCTCGCCTTTAATAAGACATCATTTCTTGCATAAATCCTTCCTGAGCCTGTTTCCTTCCCACCTACACACACACAGGAATATGAGTCACCCATCATTCAGACATTACCCTCCATTATCCTCCTCCGTCAGCTGCTGCAGAACTTGGCTGTTTGTGACAACTATAGACTACTGTCACAAAGCTGGGTCCCCTCAGAGAACAAACCCTCAGCCCTGCTGCCCTTGACTGGGCATCTGTTTCGTATTCCTCTACAGGAGAGTGTATCCCATATTGGGCAATCCAGACAGGGCATGCCTGATTGTAGGAAACCTTTATTTCTGCCTCAGCTTTGGCCTTAGCTCCAAAACCCATTTCTTTTTACTGAGCATCGTTAAGTATCAGGTGACACAAGCCAAGCCTGGGGTCTGACATCTATATACTACACCAGGCTGTAAACCTGGCAGTGGAGCAAGCTTCATGAAGTGAAGGGACACCAGATCCCACTTCATCCCAGGCACTTAAGTCCACTCACTGCCCAAGTATCTCTGGACATGTTATTCCCATACCCTTCCTCACTTTAGTGTAGGATGCAAGAAAGGGGGAACCTCAAAGTCAAAGCAAAGAGAAAAAGTAGCATGGGACAGACCTATGTAGATCAAATACAGAGAATGAGAATATAGTGACCTGAGTTTTGGGTCCCTTTTCCTTTCCTCCAGATCTCCCAGGGCTAACTGCCCAGAGAGGACAATAATGCCCTTCCTTGAGGAAAAAGCTGATGCTGGGAAGAAGAGACCTAAAGAAGGAATGTTCACTGAAAGGGAAGAAGAAATAACAGTTTTAAGGACAAGTGCACAGGCAGTCTTCAGCTCCAGGATGGGAGCAGGTGGCACTAGCAAAATAAAGCCTTTCTATGCCAAACTTGGATTGGAGGTGGGAGTGATTATACCTTAGAAATCATGGGGAATTAAGGAAGGCTTTTAAGTTTAGAAATGATGTGGTCCTGTCTATATTTTAGAATGGATTGAATAAACGAATAGAGCTAAGTGCCTGCCAGAAAAAGCTGATAACAGACCAGGGTAAACAGACACACTGGCTCCATGCTGGCATGGGGATGGGACAGAAAAACTTGATTAGTCCCCATGGATGTTCTAAGCAGATGATCCTCCTATCCATGGACCCAAGGCATGAAGGAAGGAATTGCACACGTTGGAATAACTAGGCAGGCTGCTAGTAGACATCTACAGGCACCTTGAGAGAGAAGAAAGACCTGGGAATCAGGCTCTGAGTGCACAGGACTGCCCAGGAGAAATGTGGAGCAGGAGGCCAAAAGGACACAGTTGGGTCCCTGGAACACTTATTTAATGATCCAGGAGAGAAAGGACCAAAGAGTAGGACAAAGGAAGGATGTTTAGAAAAGTAAAAAGGAAGTCAAAAGAAAACCTAAGGAAGTGCTCCATTCCACAGGAAAGTCGGTATGATGATGGACTGCAACCCTACAACTTACAAGTGAGGCTTTGGTGGGTGCAGGAGGGGACATGAGGGTCAAGGATCAAGCCAAGTGGCAGAGCAGTAGAGACTGTGTCACTGGGCTGCTGGTCCCTTACCACAAGGCCTAACACAGCTCAGTGAAGAATGAAAGTCACTGCCCACAGGACCTAGGCAGGACCCCATAGTCCAAATGACTCCTACCAATGATTTCACACAATTACAGAAGATAGTCCAGCACCCGAGAAAAAATAATGATGATGAGACAAGCAGCTGGAGCAAGAGACTTAAGATACCTAAATTATCATCTGCAGGCTGTAAAATAATGGTGCTTACACTCTGTGCTTAAGAAAAAAAGATAATGCTTGAAAATTATTCCCAGCAGGAGACAAACGATGGACAGAACAGAAGAAAAGCGACAGAATGTAATTGCTGTAATTTAATATTTATAAAACTCTCAAAATAGGGTCTGGTACATAGTAATTAGATATAAGTATATGCTTTTAAGATCCTATTTGAAAGAATGATGTTCAAAATAAGGATATTTTCAAGCAAACAAAAACAGTATTTCCCACAAGATTCAGGGGAAGACTGAAACATTTTTCTCATCAACTGAGAGAACATTCAAATTAAAATAAATCCAGTCTTTAGAATGGAGCTGCCCAATACAATAGCCTTTAGCCACATGTGGTTATTTTAAAAAATCAAGTAAATTAAAAGTAAATATAATTAGAAGGTTAGGTGTGTCTGTTAGGCATGTCAGAGATCAACCACTCAGTAACACCATAGTGGATGCTATTGAAAATGCATCTCCAACCACAGAACTATTCTGAAGAGTCCTGTTGAGATGGAAAACAAAACAAAGCAGGACAAGAAGAACAACAACAAATGACCCAATGGGGCAGAAAGAACAAACAAGAGGCAACTGGAGGTGAGGCATTCCCATCACACAGATGTGGGACACATAACAAGCTTTTCATAATCAAAGCCATTCAAGGGAATCTTCACTGGACTTACATAAACTGAAAATACAAAGGACATATTCTCTCAACCAATAGGAAAATTAATCTAAAACATCAAAAAGTAGCTTTCAAATCTCTTTCATTCTTGAGCCCAATGTGGTAGCTAACACTCAGAACTCCGGCACTAGGCAGACTGAGACAGGGAGATTACTATAAATTTGAGATCAGCCTGGTCTACATGATAATTACATATAAGTACATGCTTTTAAAAACTCTATTTGGACAAAGGATGTTTACTGAGTGAAGTCCAGTCTCAAAACAGCAACAACAAAAATTTCCACTTTTGAAATTTAAAAACACATCCAGGGGCTAATGAAATGGCTCAGTGGGTAAGAGTACTAGCTGTGTAAGCCTAAGAACCTCAGTTCAGATCCTAGAACACATATAAAAAGTCAAGTATAACATTGTGCACCTGTAACCCAGCACTGGAGTTGGGGTTGGGGCAGAAAAGAATCATTGCAGCTCCAGCTAGCCACCAGCCTAGCTCCAAGTTCAGTGGGAGACTCTGTCTCAAGAGAATAAGGTAGACAGTAGTAAAGCAGGACATTTGATACCTCCTCTGGCCTAGACGTGGGCGCACGCACGCACACACGCACGCGCGCACACACACGTGCACACACACACACAGAAAGATCATGCTTAAGCAACTATGAATCAAAACCAAAATATACATTGTAAAACACATGAAATACTTAATGCCAGGAACTATGCATTTTACAGTTAAAATGGTAAACTTTGTGTTCTGTATATTTTGCCACAAGTTATAAAGTTTCACACTTGGGAGATGGAAGCAGAGCAATTGAGTTCAAGGTCACCTATACTAAATCTGAGGCCAACCTGGGTTATGAGATAGCAAGTGCCCATAATCCCAGGGAGTTTGATGGAGGGCCTCTAGTTCAAGGTCAATTTGGGCTATGCAGTGAGGTCCTTTCTTAAAAACAAAACCAGGCCAGGCTTTGGTAGCACATGCCTTTAATCCCAGCACTTGGAAGGTAGAGGCAGGGAGATCTCTGTGAATTCAAGACCAGCCTGTTCTCCATAGTGAATTCCAGGACAGATAGAGACAGGGTCTCTTTCATATGTACAGACCCTGTCTCAAAAACCTAAACCAAAAAAGCAAACAACAACAAAAGAGAGCCAGGCATGGTGGTGGTAAACCTTTAACCCAAGCATTCAAGAGGCAAAAGCAGGAGTATCTCTATGAGTTTGAGGCCAGCCTGGTCTAAGAGTTCCAGGACAGGCTCCAAAGCTACAGAGAAACCATGTTGAGAGAGAGAGAGAGAGAGAGAGAGAGAGAGAGAGAGAGAGAGAGAGAGAGAGGAAAGGAAGGAAGGAAGGAAGGAAGGAAGGAAGGAAGGAAGGAAGATGGCAGACATTGTGATGTATGTCTTTA